TGATAGCATGGAACCGGCTTGGGATTCTCTCTCTCCCTCGCTCCCTGCCCCTCCCCTGCTTCTTCTCTCTCTCTCTCTCTCTCTCTCTCTCTCTCTCTCTCTCTCTCTCTCTCAAAAATAAATAAATAAACATTCAAAAAAAATATGAGACCTCCGTGCTGGTAACTGATCACCAAGGGGAAGCCTAGCTGGTTGTAAGAGCTCAAGGCAAATGGTCATGTGGACTCATGGCTGGGGTGGCCATATTGAAGGTAAAGTTGTGAGGCTGCAGAAAAGCAGAGGAAACTTTTGGGAAGACAGATGGAAATGGAGTATACATGTGCAGGGAGAGGCCACTAAGCTGCTTTTGTTCCTGCCCTGTTCCAGCTTCTTAGTTTATCCTGGGTCATGAGGCTTTTTACTTTCCTCAGAGGACAACCCTTTGACAATTCTAATGGTTTAGTTCAAGTGTGTATCTGCAACCAAGAGCATAAAACACAACAATGAAAAATAGTAGAATGGCCAGAGGTCTCAAGGAAAATGTTTCAACTTCCAAACTGAAGAAAAGATTTATTCTAGAATCTCATGGGTAAGATTGACAGCATTTTTTGGAAAAATTCTAAATTGGACACTAAAAATAGTTTGTCACTATGTAGCAAAAAAAAAAAAAAAAAGGTGATTATAATAAATGACCAGTGCTTATCTATGAAGAAGTGTGCTAAAATAATATAGACTCCTCTCTGTGACAATATTATGGTAAATCTGCAGGCTCCATGGACATCTCCTCATGTCATCTCTGAAGGTGACAGAAAATTGTGAGTGTATACAGAGAGGGTGTGCAGTGTCATAACTAAAAGCATTGGCCATGCCACAGGGCCTGGTAGAAAGCCTGACTTCAACACCTCTAATGTTTGTGACTGTGGACATTTGCCTCAACTGTCTCACCTGTCAAATGGGGTAATATATCTTACATTATAGCGTTGCTGTAATAATTACCCAGCAAATAATAAGTGTTCAAGAGAGGTCAGCAATTACTATTATCAAGTTTGAATAGTGCTATCCCAGAAGTGTCTGACAATACATCATCTTACCAAAGAAAGATGTTATTTTGGAGTATTTGAAACAGGCACCATCTTTTTTGACATTTTTATCAACTACTTTTGAAGAACTAGTAGGCCAGAGGCCAGTAAGTCTATATGCAAATGGATAATTTACAGACCAAAGAAGCGGGGTTTAGAAGGATCATGAGTTCAATTCGCAGGCAAAATAGTCAAATATAATTTGGTAGGAATGACATCCTATGTATGGCTCTGAAGCCATTACAGTTCGTATAAAAGTGACCTGGAGAATACAGGTATTAATATAGTCCAACATTATAACTTGACTAACAATAAGCCCGTGTAACCTCAGCCTACGTACAGTACCAGAAGTATATGAGCCAGATATTACAGTCCCAGCCTACTTGACCCTGGCCAGCTTCACTGGAGTGTTGACTCTAACCCGGGGCCACATTAGAAGAGACACTGACATACAAGACAAAATGCAGAGGAGGGTGTCTTGTGAGAGCTTGCCTCATGAGGACGAGTTAGGGAAATGTAGGATGAGGACTGGAGAAAGGAAGCTAGGACTTAATGCCATTTCCTTGAGAGAATTCAGACAGTGAATTCATGGACTTAAACCTCTGTCTACGCTCACTCTCTGCCCTTTGTGCTTCTTCGTACTGTGGTCCCACTCTTGCTCCCCCTTCCCCCAAACACCACTTTGCCTGGAGTCACAGTGATCTCCGTGGGACACTTCTTAACCCTGAGATCCCCCTTGGCCCCTGGGGAGCCTCTCCCCCTTGTTGATCACTGTCACCTTCTTTATACTCTCTGCCCTTAGCGTCCATGGCACAACCACCTCAGAGTTTCCCTCTTTCCTCTACACGCCACGAACACATGCTCCCTGTCGACTTAATACAGGCTCTGGCCCTCCTGCACATCTCTGTGCTGATGTCTCCCAAACCCATCACTTTCATTTCTATACTCAATCAGCTATTAGAAATCTCCTCCTCTGTGCAGAGACTCAGACTCAGCATAAAAATTAAGAAGTGAAATCAAGTTGTGGGACGCACAGAGAATCCTTAAGGTTGACTTCCCATAACTGCATGGGCAGTATGGTCTTATTTATTCCTTTAGGCAAGTGACCCTTCCTCCCATTGAATATTTAATTTCCAAATCTGAATCATTTTGTTTTGCCCAGAGGACAAATAATAAAGGATGGTTTAGCTTCCCAATGGGCTTTCTACCAACCCACACCCCTCAGCAAGGTTGGGCACAATGTCCGACCAGCACCTAATCGAGTCCTTCCATAATCTCAGCTTTATTGATTCAAAATAACTCAATTCTGGCTGCAGTAACAGTCACTCAGCTGGGACCTGGCTCAGTTACTTGAAAAACCCTTTAACTACAAGTTATTAAATTAATGGAAACTAGATTTTGTGTTTGTGGCTTTTCTCTTCTTAAGTGGTTATTTGTGCTTTTAAAATTTTCATCATAGACCAGCCATTGTAGCAATAGCTCTGACCTTGCCCCTTGGCTTACAGAAGCGGAAAAAAATCTCCTCCCTCTGGCAACACTGTCATTCTTTGGAAGCCTGTGCTGAGCTTTTGGTTCTCAGTCTGTACTTTTGCTGCTTTCACCATGAATGTTGCACAAGATAAATGGCATATCTCTCACGTCATCGATGAAGGGCCTTTAATTAGTGGCTCTGTGGTTGTTGGAAGAGGTATTTTTTGGTTGACAGTTTTCAAACACTTCCAAAAATTATCTGATGGGCCTTTCTGTTACCTTTCCATCTTCAAGTAAGCCCGAAGAGGTGGAGTCCAGTCCCTGGAAACATTTCATCTCATTTTCTCCCCATTCTTTCTTCTAAAGCTTCCTTTAAGGTCCAGGTCAGAAGCTCCCCCCCCCCCCCCCCCCCGCCGGCAGCTTCCTCCATTGTAGTTTTATCAAATCACTGCTACGGAGCCTAACATGTGCTTATGCACACAGCGCTCTCCAAGACCATGACTTGTCTTTTGCTTTGTGCTCAAAGTAGTAGAACTGCGATGAATGTGTAGGAATTGGACAAAAAGTTCAGTTTGGAATTCAGTCCTTTCCCATTAATTAATAGCTATCGTCAGGCTGATGCTAATATATGGCAGTGATGTTCAAGTTAGAGTGAGCTCACTGGATTCCTATAGGACCCCAACTCCATAATCAACGCCTGGGTCACAAATTCAGTAGAAGACGGCTCACACCTTCAAAAAGCTCATAGTCCAGTAGAACATGTGGGCACCATCACAACTGGTAAAAATGTGGTAAGGTAAATTGCTGTGTTTGAAGTATGAGCAAGGGGCTTTGCGAGCAAATTTCCATTTTCTCTACAGAATGCCCAAGATCTTACCACGTGAAGAAAATAAAAGGATGGCTACTCCAGGTAAATGGAGTGAGACAGCCATGCCGTTATTAAGCCTGTGAAGACCATCTGAACACTAGATGAAGAAAGATGACTTTAAAACCATTGCCAAGTTCATGTTTGTAAGTTTGATGTTATATCATACTTCCTTTGAATACTAGTAAATATAACTTTCTAATGGGTAAGCACCATGGCTGCGATTTCAAAACTATCTGTTTTGAAAAACAAAGGGGCTATTTGGAAAGGTTATGTTAACCTCAAACAGCCTCAATCAGTGCTAATTTTTTTAAAGAACTGGTGAAAAGAAGGTTAAGAAACTTTTACGAGGATGAAGTTTTCCTAAGACTATGTCCTTAAAGTTACAAGTGCTGAGGGTTGGAAGTCTTTGTAAGCAAGACCTCGAAAAGGTCAAGAGCTCACGGTTTATGGGTGCAAGCCTTGTGTCAGGCTCCGCGCTGACTGTGCAGAATCTATGTGGGATTCTCTCTCTTTCACTCTCTCTGCTCCTCTCGGGTGTTCTCTCCCTCTCTCTCCCTTTCTCTCTCAAAATAAATAAATAAGCTTAAAAAAAACCCAGAAACCCACTAAGTCACTAGCTGGCACAGAGGGGATGAGGGGAATTTCATAATGTTAGCAGAGTGAGTACTTGTCACTCAAGAAAAGATTTTTAGTGAAAACCTCATATGTGATTCAAAAGTATTATACACAATGTCAATGAATATAATGATGGTATTTTAGATGGGCTCAAAAGGGATTTTATTAATGATGAAAACGATGTTAAAATATATGTCAGTGGCTCCAAATTGTTTTACGAAGTGTAAAAGCAGAAACGATAATTTCTAAATTAATATAATAGTTTATAAGCCATAAAATTTTATATACGAATGCATAGTTACATTAATAAAGTAAAACAAGTAGGTCCCTAACGTTTCAATCTGTAGCCCTAAAAAGCCACATATGCAAATCAGCAAAAAATCTTTTATCAATAAAACATCTTATTGTAAAAACAGCAGATTACCTGATATTTTGGGTTGGCTAATTTTCAAGCAAGTTTCACTGAATAGCATTGTATACAGAGTTGAATAAATGCCACAGGTGGTCATTATTGTAACAAATAGAAATTTCTGTTTTACCAAAAGAAAAATGAACTGAAGCTTAAAAATAAAAACAAGAATCAAATCATGATTTCTAGTTATCGGGCAAATTCATTGTTAAATAAAGCCATGGCACCCAAACATTTTCTGATCTCCTGTTTATAGGGAACAAAAGTAACAAAAAATAGAAGTTATTCTTTTACGTCTGGGATTATTTAAATAACATGAGGTCAGTCAGTCCAGAAGTTACGTTGAAACCTAAAAACATAGATAATCCTTTGTGTATATAATTTAGTGGATTAAATATCCTTAGTATTAATATGATGCAGTGAAAGTGACACAAAATATACCTGCTCCAATACCAGGGGTGGTTGGCATATCACAGATGTGTAGGGCAGGGTTGGAGATTCAGTTCTATGAAGCACCATAGTTTGGCTTGCCTACCTGAATCTGAAAATGCAGTAACTTATTTAGGTTCAGAATACATACCTCTAAGTAGTCTGTGGAGCAGTTTGTGTGAGTTTCCAACTCAAATGCTAAAAATGTATAATTCACCGTGTTGCCCGTTGTCGCTTGGATGGTCCAGTTACAACGCTGATTGTCAGAATAGGGATTTGGATAATGTATACTCTCTAAGAGGCCATAGGATCGGTTCACAATTACCACGTTCTCACAGGCTGAAAAAAACCACCCATGATTATTAAGAACCACTATCATGTCTTTCATAATTGCCCCAAGATGTGTAAGATTTTCCTTTAGGAAAAGATCTAGATTAAAGTATATAGTTTATATATTTTATATTTGTATGTTATGCAAATGTGTATGCAAATGTATATATGTGTGTCTATATACATAGTACAGCGTTTCACAGTTGAGTCTCCATTTAGAAAAGATGAGAAACAATACTTAAGTGAACTCAGAAAGTTTAAAGTGCCATGAAAATCATCGATTCCCATAAAGAGGCATCCAATTCCTGTGAACCGGTGAAAACCAGGATAGCTCAGCACTACTCAGGGTGCAGTCTGATTTGTTTACAGAAGTGTATTAAATATTCTATGCTCCTGTTTTTCTAACTTTAACGTTTGAAAGAACAGAAATCCTGACCTTTAAATTCAACGGTTTAAAAACACAAAGTTCTATGTGAGTGCTAAAAACGGACAACAACATGGCTTTGTTGAACATTCAGAAGTCAGCATGAAATTCACAATAAAGGCTCCCTTATTCCTCTGGTGAGTCATCAGGAAGTCCAGAACGAATAGAGGCAATGTAAAGGATTGGAAGAAGAAATGAACATCTTAAGTTCTGAAAAAAAAGGCTTCCATTTTGAAAATACCAAAAGCTGGTATTTTCCTCAGCTGAGTTTTCCACCAAAACTGTACTAGGTACCTCTAGGGGTGGCTGGTCCCCGGAGTCAGTGCCAAATTCAGCCCAAATTAATGACCTGAACAAGGCATATACATGCCTTTTCCTAAGCCTTTTCCATATTATCTCCATGATGTGTGATAAAAGAGAATGAGAGGATAAACATTATATTGAAAAAATGGTCTCTGAAAAAGGTGGTTCATAGATGCATTTCTGCTACTATACTTTTTCTGACAGGTGACTAGGACAGCGTTGATAAACTATGGTACGGAAAAGTATACATTTGTGTCTCCTCAGAATAGTCCTTTGCTGGAGCAAGGGAATACTCAGGCTATTTCTCTTTAGGTGACCTTTTTGTCCACAAAGGAATTCTAAGTAATAATTTTGTGGGTTTTGATGCCTGGGAGAAGTTACAGCTATGCAGCACAGAGGTATCGTGTTGCTCAGAGACCACAAGTCAGGGCACAGGAAAATATACTCGCCTAAGCCATATGGCTGCTCTCTGTGCTCAGAAATTATTCTGTCTGCAAACCTCCAATTTCAAATGGCAAATTTTACAGAAAACCTCACTGGTTAGCTCTGATTTTTGCCTTTAAGGACATATATCCCACCTGCACTGAGTGACTCCTTCAGTGTTCTGAAATTATGAGGGAAAATAAAATATCAGGGGAATAAAAGGGAGGAATCCTTAATAAACAATCTGACTATAAGCAAGAAACAAATTAGCACAGCAATAATAAAATTAGAGAAATGATTATATGCTCAACCAAAAAAATGCATCCCTGAGAAAATTTAGGAGAGTTTTTCATATACTTGATGGATTTCTGCAGAATAAAGGTTTTCATCATTAAAACTCAGTTTTCAAAACTATATAGAATTCAGCCTAACCCCAAATGTAGGTGAATGTGAATATTTTCAAAATCACACCTAGTCAAGGTCAAACATTAATATGCCTTCAACTAATTCAAAGGGATATTGTATCTCAAGACTTTCAATTCTATTTTTAGGTAACTGTGTCAAAATATGGATACATTTAGGTTTAGTGGGGCAAGGTACTGTGCTTTCAAATGCACAAGTAAAGTGTTTATTAAATAACAATTCAAGGAAACTTTTCTTAAATGTTCATTTTGAAACTAACATTAGAATGTATTAAATTCTAGACCTAGAAGGGAGATTTCATAATGGCCTTATTTAATTTCCTTTTTTAAGAGAAGAAATCATAGAACCCCATGGAAAAGTGACCTTCTCAGGGGTCAGGGGCCAGGGACAAACCCCTGGGGTCCTCGATTCTTTGTGCAATATTCCTTTAATTCTACCATGTTGCCTCACAGGAAAGTAGATTTTAAAATGGCATCTCTACAATGACCGGATTTTTCCACGGGAAAGAATGTGCTTATTCTCCATATGACTTACAAGAACTGTAGTTTCCCTTAATAAAAATTAAGGTAACTTTTGATGTACAAGATCAAAAGAAAAACCAAAAACAAACAAACAAACCAAAAAAAAACAAAAACAAAAAACCCAAAAGTGTGGGAGATGCTATGTGCAGTGGAATGTCTAATTAGAAGACTGTAATGTTTGATACAAATGAAAACCCATTAGCCGTTAACCTGTTACACTGATCTTCAACTGAATGGCAACTCTCCCGGCATATTAAATACTCTATTTTCTAGAGCTTACCACGTGCTTTTGTTTATGGCATTAAATTTAATGCGGGGCGCCTGGGTGGCGCAGTCGGTTAAGCGTCCGACTTCAGCCAGGTCACGATCTCGCGGTCTGTGAGTTCGAGCCCCGCGTCAGGCTCTGGGCTGATGGCTCAGAGCCTGGAGCCTGTTTCCGATTCTGTGCCTCCCTCTCTCTCTGCCCCTCCCCCGTTCATGCTCTGTCTCTCTCTGTCCCAAAAATAAATAAACGTTGAAAAAAAAAATTTAATGCTAAGCATTTTTCTCTCAAATAGAATTAAATCTTTCTCATAAAGAGCAAAGATTTATTTCAATTGCTCAATCCAATGGGTTATACTTATTTCAGTCTGTTTCATTATCAGGAAATTGAAGACCCACTACGGGCACTAGCCAGCCAGTCTACATACTTACTCTGCTGGTATTTGGCCAGGAAGCCACCTCCTTGTTGACCTTCATCTGTTCTGAGTTTTAAAAACATGCTGTCTCCACTAGAACGGATGAGAGGCGGTGTTTCATCCCCACAAAGCTGACTGAGCAAATGAGAACTGGTACTTGAGCCATCATATACCTTTAATGAAACATTTTAAATGTCAGATGACCGTGGCTATAAACATCATCTAAAAGACTCTACCTCTTAAAAAGTGGGGAAGAAATACATAAAAATACAAGAAATACATGACAGAACACAAGAATAGCCCTGAATCACAATATCTTTTTTTTCTATTTTTTTTTCAATATATGAAATTTATCGTCAAATTGGTTTCCATACAACACCCAGTGCTCATCCCAAAAGGTGCCCTCCTCAATACCCATCACCCACCCTCCCCTCCCTCCCACCCCCCACCAACCCTCAGTTTGTTCTCAGTTTTTAAGAGTCTCTTATGCTTTGGCTCTCTCCCACTCTAACCTCTTTTTCTTTAAAAATTCTATTTAAATGTCTATAAACTTGGACCATGAACTTGAGCCACTTAGCCAGGGCTGTGTATGGAGGGAAGGATGGGAACCCAGGCTGAAATCTGGAGATTAAAAATGAAAGACTAACACCTATTTTTGAGACCATAGCTGTTATCAGTAGTTCTCCTTGCTTTTTTATTTCATAGTTCATAATTTGTGACATTCTAATGCATTTTTTTATTCAGATTTTTTTTTAACGGACAAGGGTCAGTTGCTGCTACTATAAAAAGTCCCACCTTGATGACATCAAGTACCTTCTCCAATTACCAGTATAGTCCTCTACATTGCTAATTTTCAGTGCATATATATAAATTACATAGGTAATAATCATGATAGAGCTCATAACCCCTCTGGGGAGATTTTAACCATCTCTTAACAGTTCATATTCAATATATTTTAAATACTTACAAGCTATTCAGTAATACATGCCATATTCAGAGGGCTGCCATTTTCATCAAATTTTCTTTTTATTTCTTCTAAGTTTTTTATGTGGATATTTTAAATGTTCTCCTTTCCCAAATTTCAAAGATAAAAATAAATGCATTTATGTGTGTGGGTGAGATGGGAGCAGTGAAGGAAACAACTGAACTTTATACATACGGCCAGATAATCTAAAGTGCAGTTTGGGTGGTACTCCAAGTGAAAGTCTTCAAATTCCAGCTCAAATGGGCTGCCATGGCTGGATTTCAACCACCAATAGCATTCGGAGCTGTGGTAGTAGGGCATCGGGTAGTTGGGAGATATGAACATGCCAGTGGGGGTGGTGAGATTGCCCCCACAACCTACAGGAGAAAGAGACCAGGTGACACATTTCTTTTTCTTTATGGTAAAATGGAATCTTCCTGACTATATCCAACTAGGGCTACTGTTACTCTCCTTTTAACCAGATCGCAAAACAAGACTGCATCACCAAAGAGTAGCTAGCCCCTGTCAATGTCCTTTCCTTCTGTTAACCAAGACCACCAGCTTGAGGTAATATACCACGAAACAAGGATATTTCCCCTTACTTTGTCCTCAACATCAAAACCCAAACAGTGCTGTTATTCAGGAATATTTTCAGTGTTTAAGTTTAGTATAAACAGGAATGATAAAATATAGCTAGAAAAAAAAATGGATAAGAGCATGGCAGTCTAAGAATCAAGAAACCAGTCAGACTGGACTCTCCAATAAAAGACAGCTCTTTGCCATTTACCTGTTAATGATCCATCCCAGTAAGCTGAGAATCCAGATGCTGAGCCAAAGAAGTCACTCTTAAATCTTAACCATAGTTTGTTACTATGAGAGATGATTCTTGGAGGTGGATTTGAGCCACAGTATTTTCCCAGGGGTGGTGAACTTTCACTGCCTCCATCTCTGGGGCAAGACACAGATGCGGTCATTTACTCATCACTGATAATATTACTGTATAAACATTTACTATTATTTGAACTTTGAGACTGCAAACAGATCAGTTTAGGTCAGTCCACTTTTCTTAAAAATACTCTAAATCACAATTTCAAGTTTTCAATTTTTCACCTGATTAAAAACATTTGAGTAGCTTAATAAAGAACATCATTTATGGTTTGCACAACATTTTATATAACCAATCTCAAGCTGAGAGGAAGAGTTTAATCTTCTCTCTCTCAAATGAAGCATCTGGTAAATGTGTCAGAGAACATGGGATAAAGAGACCGTAATTATTAACAGTATAAACAAATGTTGCTTCATTTTACAGAGAAAACTTAAATGTTTGTCTTCTAACTTGAATTTTTTCAAATTTAATGTTGTATTTGACATATTTAGCAACATTTTGAAAATAATTCTTCCCCAAGGACTTTTAGGGTCTTAAATCTACTTTGTAATCTGTAGCTTTTTCAAGCATAAAAAAAAGGACTCACTCAACATTCAAATCTAATGATTAGTTATTGTAAATCAAGAAAATTACGTTATTTTGCCATGATATGATACAACTCTGATTTATTTTCGTACCATACCTCACATTATAGAATAAAGTTTATTATAAAAGTATAATACTCTAGGCTTTTGAAAGGTCAAATAAAAATCTGAAATAAATACACACCAAATTGTGTGTGTACAAAGCCTAATTTATTTCTATGTAAAATGATCTGCATAGATGGCAATATACAGGTCAACTTACCTTTACTGCAAATATAACTTTTTAAATTCATTCTCCCTAAATACCAAAGCATTAAAGAAAAAAGTTCTCACGCTGAAATTCACAAACCTAGACTTTTATTATTTGAACACAAAAAACTTGGTGAAAACGTTACGTTTCTTATCTTATCATCATTTTTTTGGATATAATTATACCAAATGGACAAAAAACAGCCTTAAATTCTAAATTGATTTTCCATAAAAAAAGTAGGTATTCCGGGACACCTTGGTAGCTCAGTCAGTGAGGGGTCTGACTTTGGCTCAGGTCACATCCACAGTCGGGGAGTTCAAGCCCCACATGGGCTCTCCACTCTTAGTGTACAATCTACTTCGGATCCTATGTCTCTCTCTGTCTCTCTCTCTCTCTGCCCCTTCCCCCCTCTCAAAAATAAGTAAACATTAAAACCATTTTTTTAATGCCTGTTTAAAAAAATAAAAAAGAAAGGAAAAAAGAAAGAAAGTAGGTATTCAATAATTGCAAGCATCTAATTTCAGAGGAGTAGTACATCTGTTTACTCTGCCCAAATAAAATCTAGAGTTTATTTTCAAATATTCCGCATAAAATAATCACTTCAAAATAACCACTGAATCTTAGGCAATTTTCTGTTTTTCTTCTGTGAAGTCAGGCTCCACATGACAAACTTTATATCTTGCAAGAAAGAGCACAACAGGGAGCTTTACAGAGAATTTCCATGCATTTTCCTTAACTTTTCCAGGAAAGACCATGAATGAAAACAAATAAGGAAAAAGGTGATAAAATAAAGGTGCTTACCTGATTTCCACAAAATCTGCTATGCACTCTCCACCAATGGCCTCCTCCAAGGAGAAGTTTGTAAAGTGCAATGCAATCTGTTGGCTGGTTTCCACCGTGATCCTATAAATGCATTTCCAGTTGTTGGGGTAATTATTGGGGAAGTTTGGAGAAGTAAAAGTCCCAGATTCTTCTGTATAGTCTGTCATGCATGCTGTGAAAAGAAACAAGAGCATAAGAGAGAAAACAGAAAACATCATGCTACATTTATAAGACATTCACTAACACACACTTCATTAATTTGTGCCAAGGGGCTTGATTTTCAATAGGCCATTCTAGAATGCTAACGAATGATTTCCTTTCAAAACAAAGTTTTTTTTTTTAATCTCAAAGGCAAAAACAATTATTAATAGCAAATGTAAGCCATGTAGTGGAAACTGTTACATATATCATACCTTTCTAGATCTTGGAGGTGTTATAATCTATTAATCAATGCACATTACCATAAACATTAAACATTTAGGCTGCACCATGGAAATCCTAGAGGGGACCTAGAAATAGCTCAGCTCTGTTCTCCTTTTCCTAACCTTTCTTTAAAATGGTTTTCACCAAGCATGCATTTATGACAAATGACAAAGCAGCACCTCTGCCACTTGAAGAATAGAAGGTAAGTGTCAGGAATCAGACGGACCTTGAATCAATGCCTAGTTCAAACACTGACATGCTGTGCAACCATGAGCAAATTACTGCATCTCTGTGAGCCTCATCTCTCAAATGGGGATGGTAAGTGTCTTTGTCTGTACATGTAAGGGTTAGAGATAATGCAATGAAGGGGCTTGGCACTTGGTATGTAACTCAATAAATGGTAGTGATCATTATGTTGCAAAATAATTCAGAAAAGTGTATGAAAGTAGAGCATAAATGATGAGGAATAAATCAGATCATTCATACAAAACATTAATCTGGTACTTGGACAATTTTATATTGCAAGTAAATATTAGCTTCTACTTTAAGAGTTTTAACTTTACTCATTCTGTCCATCAGACTCCATATTTACTAACCAACCCGCTCAATCTCCTGTGTCCTTCAAATCTGAGATATTTTGTAAAGAAAATCTTGTTTGCGGGAGCCTGGATGGCTCAGTGGGACAAGCACCTGACTTCAGCTCAAGTCGTGATCTCGCCTTCGGTGAGCTGGAGCCCCGCGTCGGGCTCTGCGCTGACAGCTCAGAGCTTGGGGCCTGCTTCGGATTCTGCATCTCCCTCTCTCTTTGACCCCATCCCCTACTCCCACTCTGTTTCTTCCAACAATGAATAAATGTTAAAAAAGTTAAAAAAAAAAAAAAAAGAAAAAAGAAAATCTTGTTTCGATGCATTTTTAATGTACTGTATCTTTGATTGTATCTAGTAATAACATAAATCTAAGGTCCAGGAGTAGACACAAGCCTCCTAAAAGGTGTTGAGGGAGAATGAACTATTATACTTCATTATAAGTAAAAAAAAAAAAAAAAAGAAAAGAAAAGGAGGATGTTTTGATGTAGAATTTCCCCCATTTGCTCTGGATGATCACACTCAGAAAAGAGGCAAGGAGCCACTAGCATTGACAGCAGGACGCACAGAAAATAGTACAGGTTCCACTACCTATGTATAATGTTCAAAGTAAGAGGCACTCATCAAATAATTGGCTTCCTCTATTTTAAAACGTTTATTTATTTATTTCTGAGAGAGAGAAGGGGGAGGAGCAGAGAGAGGGGAAGAGAAAGAATCCCACTACCAGTGCAGAGCCTGGTGGGAGGCTCAAAAACTCACAAACCTTGCGACCATGATCCGAGCCAAAATCACGAGTCAGACGCTTAACCGACTGAGCCACCCAGGTGCCCATGGTGTACTCTTTTTTAAATAGCAAGCAAACAAGGCTTTACTTTATTGAAAAAAAATTTGAAAGTGATATTTAACTTCAAAGGTGAATACTGTATACTTTTATGTTTTTCTATAGTCCGCCAAGCAATATCTCTTCAAAGATCAAGGAAGGCAGGAAGGCAGGAAGGGAGGAAGGAAGGGAGGGAGGAAGGGAGGGAAAAGGCAAGAAGAAAGCAGGGGGGGAGGAAAAAGAGGGGCAGAGAGTGAATGGGGTTGTAGAAATGGCATATTAGGGGCGCCTGGGTGGCGCAGTCGGTTAAGCGTCCGACTTCAGCCAGGTCACGATCTCGCGGTCCGTGAGTTTGAGCCCCGCGTCGGGCTCTGGGCTGATGGCTCAGAGCCTGGAGCCTGTTTCCGATTCTGTGTCTCCCTCTCTCTCTGCCCCTCCCCCGTTCATGCTCTGTCTCTCTCTGTCCCAAAAATAAATAAACGTTGAAAAAAAAATGGCATATTAAGTATTTCATATTCGGAATGAATATCACTGAGATAAAAATTCATGGATCAAATGGACATTAAATGAAGGTTATGACCCGGTCTCCCTGAGCTGACAGAACCAGCAGACTCGTTGACCACCCCCACATTCACACAGCTTTAGCCAGTCAAGTGAACGTCTAGAGCAAGTCTGTTTGTCAACTGTTCTTAGAGATGATGTTCCTTCCTTACCCACTCTGCTCCCAGAAGGGAAATACAATTGTATTGAATATTTCTAGTGCAGCTTGCAATTAGTCTGCAGGAGAATGGTTTATATAATCAGAATCTCATGTAAAGGAGCCAATTCAACAAATATTTGAGAAGTAATGATGCATAATTTCCCTGTACCTTTGTCCATATGAAAGTATCTATTGTGGCACAATTGGTTGTTTTTCATTTCAGACTGAAATTCTGATTTATTCATTAAGTTTCTTTTCTTTTGCTGGCACAAAAGTAAACACAATCCCTTATGAAATGGGCCTCACACTGTTTACTTTGTTTGAAAGTCTTTATCTAACAACTTCCCGTTCGACCGCAACATGCCACTAGACAAATAAGCTCACGTATCATTTAAAGCCAAGTCCAATACCACCACCTCTGTGAAATTTTTCCAAGTCGAGCAGAATTAATTTCCTTGTGCTCAATAAACCTTTAGGCAAATAGCAATTGGAGCCCCCGAAATATCACATTGTAATTGTTTTATGTGAGTACATTTCCTCCACTATGTTTGGAGCAATTATTAGCAATTATTAACTACCACTTACTACATTATCTGGCCCATATCTAAAAAATATTTGTTAAAATTATATTATGTAATGTATTGAAAACTGAGAGGATAGGACAAGTATCTAATTTCTTCCCATTCTCTCTACCTCCATCCTTTTACTCCCTCCACTTTTCTTACCTCCTTCCTATCCCCTCTCCTGGGTAGGCTGAGATTCTTTAATATTTTATAATGTTTATTCAGTCTAAACTATAGACATCTCTGCTTCCAGCCATGACAAATAAACTAGTACTAAACTAGCCCCTCTCCATAAAAACTGTGAAACTGGGCAAAATATACGAGGCACTGGGCAATGGGCAGTTCAAGATTGTGATCCTTGGCACAAAGGAGGTGGGACTCTATTTCCTCGACTCTTTACCTGTGTGGAATTTTCTGATCCCAGCAGTTTGCTGAAGTCCAAGTAGTCAATGACAGTTCCGCTGAGCTGAGGAAGCAGGGATCAGAATTTAGGGCTGTCAAAGGAGCTGGAACTGCAGGGACATATTCCAGCAAGGAAGAACTATACAGAGAGGAGGACCAGACATCTGTGTAAAGTCCCTTATGAATTCTTGCGTGAGCCTGGGCTGGGCAGACATGAGGTGAGACTTCAAAAGCTATGCTAGAGGGTAGCTGCTAATAGGCTGGAAGCTACAGGACAGGCAATGCTCCATGGAAGACTACTGAGTTCTCCCACCATCAGAATCCCCTCATTTACATGCCAGGCACCCAGTTGAGACACAAGAAAGGCCACACCTTAGAAATAAAGACCATGACCAAAAGTAAGGCTTTCCTATCAATGTTTAAGTCTTAACAAGAACTGCAGGAGTGATAAAACTTAGAGCTTGAGACCTACCTAGTTTGAAGGGATTAGGTAATACCTAGGTATTTTTCACAAATACACCTTAACAAAAAAAAAAAAAAAATACAAATCTACACAAGTACAAGATAATCAGCTAAATATTGAACCAACGTAAACTTCAGAGAAAGAGAAGAGAATCCAGAGTCTTCATATCATTCACCATATCCAGTATAAAACTCAAAACCTGCCACTAATACAAATAAACAGAGTAATAGAAATCATGGTCAAGAAAAAAGTGCAACCTTGTGACTTGAAGACGGCCCAGATAATTATATTAGCAGACAAAAATTTTAATGCAACTACTAGAAAAATGTTCAAAGCCTTAAAGAAAAATATAGCCTCAATGGTAAATAGATAGGGAATCTTGGCAATACAAAGGAAACTATTAATAAAGAATCATATAGAAATTCTATAACTTAAAAATATACTAACCTGAAACTAATATAACACTGTATGTTAACTATATTGATTTTTAAAATTTTTTTAATTAAAAAAAATGTTTTTGTGTTTATTTTTGAGACAGAGCGTGAGCTGGGAAGGGACAGAGAGAGAGGGAGACACAGAATCCAAAGCACAGAGCCTGATGTGGGGCTCAAACTCACAAGCTATGAGATTATGAGCTGAGCTGAATTCAGACACTTAATGAACTGAGCCACCCAGGCGCTCCTATATTGAAATTTTAAAAAGAGTAAACTAACTGAAATTTAAAAATGCATGTATGAGCTTAATAGAAACTTTGAAGTAGAAGAAGTGTCATTAAACTTGAAGGTATACCAATAGAAACTGTTTAATCTGAAAGAAAAAAAAAGAAAAAATGTGCAAAAAACAGATTCTCAAAAACCTAGGAAAAAATACCAAAGAGTCTAGCACACATATAATCAGAGACCCAGAAGGAGAATAGGATGAAAATAGTAAAATAAATAAATAAATAAACAAACAAATAAATAAATAAATAAATAAAATATATATAAAATATATAAATATAAAATATATAAAATTACATACACACACACACACACACACACACACACACAGGCTAAAATTCTCCCAAATTTGATTTAAAAAATCAAATTAGCTATTAGCTACAAGGAGGTTAGTCAATCCTAAGCAAGATAAATAAAAGAAAATCACACTCAGGTACATTAAACCATTGAAAAACAAATACAAGAAAAATAAAGGAGTTAGAGGAAAAATGACACACT